CATAAGTTAAAAAAAAAAAAAGAAATGGTCTCATTTCACCTATGGATTCTAAGCCTGAGATTCCAGGACATGACCACATGGTCCTGGGACTATGGGGTGGGTGGGCAGAGAGTTCAGTGTTAATTTTTTATTGGAGTGACAGGGTGATTCCATTTTGGTGGTAACTAAGAAAATGTGCAAATATGTCTCTTGCCTGAGTCTGTCTGGGCCAGTGTACAGGCTGCATAACCCCAACTCTGCCTAGGAGTATGAGGATTTCAGTGAGAGCAGCATAGGTTCTGTAGACCTGACCAAGCTGGGAATTTAAATGTGGTGCTTCCCAACCTAGGCTTGTAAGTGTGGGATGGTGGGGAGGGGTATGGAACCTTACCAGATTTCTGGCTGCAGCAGGGTATGTTGTTTGAGCTAGACCTGGCAAGTGGACAGGGACAGGGAATTCTGGGGTTGTGGAACTCACACATCTGGCAGGTTCTCAGAGTTGCACAGGTGGTAGGTTGAGTTAAAATGTGTCGTGTGAGCCTAGCTAGGTCTGGGAGGTAGGATAACAGATGGAATGCCATGGTCGAGGAACTCACAGGTCTGGCAGTTACAGGAACACTGGGAGTGCACCAACATATTTGGCTGATAAGCACTTGGGCATGATGGACGGACTTGGTCAGGCCCATCTTACCTGCAGCTGCAGCTGCCTCTCTAAGAAATCCATAGTCTTTAGGCCCAGAGCACAATCCAGTTTCATCTTGCCTACATCCAGCACCCCAGTGCGAACACGTTGCCACAGCAATCACCTTAAAAAAGATGTCGTGGGTCCTTTTTGCTCAGTATTAGCAGCTCCCAAGGAGCCTTACAGATCTTAGCCAGAGCAAATTTGACCCTCCAGACATCAAGTTTATTCCAGAACCCATCTCCACTGATCAGCTTCAGATCCTTATGAAGATGTGATTTCCCAAATGGTCTCTGTGAGGTCACATAGGTTTTGTGACAAACCCAGTTCCTGACTACCTGCATGTGGACTCCTCTTGCTGGTCAACATCTATGAGCTCATGCCCATGACATCAAATATATGCAAATTCTCAGCATGGCAATATGAGTAACATTTTCTACAATTTTTCATAGAATGCTTGTTTCCATATGAAACTTCATGAGCATGGCCCTTCCTACCCACATTCCTATCAATATTTGAGTCTGTAAAGCACCTGCCAGAATTGCAATCAAGCTCTTCTTCTAACATTCTAAGCGTTTACTTGCCTGTTCCTCTAGTTCCTCCATAGAGTAATTCCAAAGGCCCCTCTATATCATCAGGTATAGTTATATTAAGAATCTCACTGCTCATACCAAGTTCCTGTAATTGTTACACATTGCTACGTTACCTGAGACAATTAACTTTATAAAGATAACATGATTATTTAGCTCATGGTTCTGAAATTTGAAGTCTAAGATCAGGCAGCCCCATTTGTTCAGGCCCCTAGTGGGGGCATGGCAGAATGGCAAGAGTAGGATCATATATCAGCTCCAGGTACTGAATCTCAAGCCAAGAAGCAGACAGAACGCCAACAGAATTCTAAAATCTCCTGTAAGAGAAGGCTTCCAGTGACCTAAGAATATGACTCTAATGCCCCCCATTAAGGTAGACAGAACATCCCAGTATTACTACTCTGGGAACTAAACCTTTAACCCAAAGACTTTTGAGGGACACTCATCGAACACAGTAGCATCCATATTTCCAGCATGCACATTAAAACTTTTTCAATTTCTACCCATTACCCAGTTTCAAAACTTTTAGTACTTTTTAATATTACAAAGTAATGGGCTTTAGCATGACACATTCATGCATATAATGTACTTTAATCATATTCACTCTCTCTCACAATTTTTATCCTCCTCCTCCCACCCCTTCCCCTTCCATACCCTTAACAGCCCCCTTTATATTTTCATGACCCGCCCCAGAATTGAGATATAAATGAGAAATACACGATAAGGATGCAGTTCAGTAGTAGAACACTTGCCTAGTTACATGAGATCCTGGGTTTAAGTCCCCAAACTGGAAAAATATGAAAGAAAGAAAAATGCAATATTTGTCTTTTGTGAGACTAGGTTACTTCTGTTAATATGACAGTCTCCGGGTACAGCCTTTGCCCTGTAAATGGTGTAACTTCATTTTTCTTATGTCTCTGTAATGTCTAGAGCAACTCCATTTTGTACAAAGTAGCCACATTGGACTTTAAAAATCAGAGAAGCAGAGATCCTAGTAGACAGCCTGAGAGGGTGGGTTCTGACCTCCATCCGTCTAGACTGTGATCTCAGCAGACCACCAGAGAGTGTCAGTTCTGGCCTTCCTCTGGCATAGGGGCTGAGAACACACGGGACTAGAGGAAAACACCCAGATTCTGCTTCCATGTGGTGGTGAGATTCCCCTAATTGTGCTGCACCCAACCCCATAACTGGGATTTCACCTCCCAAGGGCCCAGGGCAGACCTGGCTTTGATAAGCTAATGCTGAGATCTTAGAAGAAAACCTGAGAAGGCAGGATCCAACCTCCAACTGTGTAGTACCTGTGATCTCAGCAGACCTCCAGAGAGTGCCAGTTCTGGCCTTCCTCTGGCATAGGGGCTGTGAAAAAAGCAGACAAACTGAGAGTCCCAAAATTGCCCCACCCTTAGGGAACTTCCCAAATTTTCTGTGAGTTCCTGCTAATAGGGGTTCAAACCTTAGAAGGAAGCCTGAGTATACCTGACTGGAATCTGACTTGGGCTTCTGTGGGTACTCCTGAATAGTTGATCTGAAGCCATCAGTTCCCTCCAAAATAAACATGAAAGAACCTGAACCCTGTACCAACTACCTTTACATAACCATTAATGAAAGGACCTAGACACCCCTACAATACAAATAGAAGCACACTTCAACTTAATTCTCATATCAGAATCATAAACAACAAAAGAAATTCACAAGCCAAAATCACAATGAAAGAATAATAAAATGAAAAGCCAAAACACTATGTCCCCACCAAACTCCACCAGTCCTGTAGAAGAGTTCTACAAGGAGAACCCCTTAGAGATAACCCAGAAAACTGAATTTAAAAGAGCAATAATAAACATGATCAAGGAATTCAACAAATTTAAAGAACACACAAGCAAACAAATCAAAGAACTAAAAGAAGATAAGGATGAACTTTTGAATGAACTCACAAAACAGATACAAACATTGACAAAAACTCAGGCAGAAAGGAAGAAGGAAGTGCAAAACTCAATAAGCCAACTTGAAACAACAGGGTAAAGCCTCACTGCTACACTGAATGAAATGAAAAACAGAATATCAACACTGGAGGATAAAGTTGAAGAACTGAAGCACTCAAGCAAAGATTATGGAAAAATATTTAAAACACAGGAATGGAAAATGCAGATGTGGACCACCATGAAAAGACCAAATCTGTGGATCATAAGTGTAGAGGAAGGAGAAGAATTTCAGGTTAATGGTATTGACCAGATCTTAAGCAGGATTGTAGAAGAGAATTTCCCAAAATTAAGGAAAGACATCCCCAAACAAATACAGGAAGCACATAGAACACCAAATAGGATCAGAAAAGAAACTCCCCACGACATATCACCCATAACATATCATAGTAAAAGCATCAAATGTACAGAACAAAGAAAGGGTACTAAAACCCAAAGAAAAACAATAAGTCATATATAAAGGAAAACTCATCAGAATTACAGCTGACTTATCAATGCAAACTATGAAAGCCAGATGATCCTGGACCAAGGAATTTCCAGTTCTACATGGCAATAGATGTCAGCGCAGAATACTTTACCCAGCAAAAATGTCTATTATAGGTGAGGGGGAAAGGAAAATCTTCCATGACATGAATAGCCTGAAAGAATACATAACCACAAAACCAGCCCTTCAAAGAATACTTGAAGCAATACAGGGAGCAGAGAGAGAAAAAACTATATCCCAGGGGCAATGAAAGAAAATAAGTAAAGATGTGATTGAGGAAATACAAAATTAGACAAAGAACATAAACAACAATCAAAATAATGGCAACCAATACACCTCATTCAATAATAACCTTAAATTTCATTGGACTGAACTCCCCAGTCAAAAGACTTTGCTATCTACAAGAAACCCATCTGACGTTCATGGACAGGTACTAGCTTATGGTAAAGGATGGAAAAGAATATTCCACTCAAACTGCACTAATAAACAAGCAGAGGTTGCAATTCTAATATCAGAAGAGATAAGGAGAGTCACATCATTCTGATAAAAGGAACAGTTAACGAAGAAGACATTACACTCCTTAACATATATGCACCAAACTCTGGTGCACCCAAATTAATTAAAAAAAAAAACTACAGGACTTTAAGACACAGATTAACCCCAACTCAGTAACAGTAGGGGATTTCAATACCCTACTGTCTCCACTGGACAGGTCAACTGGGCAAAGAATAAGCAGAGAGACATCAGAATTAAATGATACTATACATCAAAAGGACCTAACAGACATCTTTCGAATATTCCACCCAAGCACCAAAGAATACATTTTCTACTCTGCACCCCATGGGACTTTTTCAAAAATTGACTATATACTGGGCCAAAAAAAAACCCTAAACAAATATAAAAAATAAATAATTTCATGCATTCTATCGAACCACAAAGTAATAAAGCTCAAAGTCAACAATGGACAAAGCCCTAGTCACTACAGGAACTCATGGCAATTAAACAACACACTCCTAAACAATGAGTGGGTCAAAGGAGAAATTAAGAAAGAAATAAAATAAAAACTGAAATTCAATGAAAAGAACAATACAACAAAACTCAACAAAACTTCTGAGACACTTTAAAAGCAGCCCTAAGAGGGAAGTTTATAGCTCCAAGACCCTACATTAAAAAATTAGAAAGAGCCCAAATAAATGACCTAACACTGCAACTCAAGATGCAGGAAAGGCAAGAACAAATGAAACACAAACATAGCAGAAGAGAAGAAATAACAAAAATCAGAGCAGAAATTAATGAAATAGAAACAAGGAAAACTATACAAAGAATCAATGACTCTAAGAGCTGGTTCTGTGAAAAGCTAAACAAGATAGATAGACCCTTATCCCAATTAACCAAAAGAAAGAAAGAGCAAATCCAAATCCACAAAATCAGAAATGAAAGGGGAAACATCACAACAGACATTCAAAAGATCCAAGTGATTATAAGGGAATAGTTTCTTAAAATAATTTATTGAGCATTCCATACATACATATAAGATGTTTTGATCAAATTCATGCCCACTCCCTCTACTCCAACTCCTCCCATATCTCCCCATCACATTTTTCTGATAACTTCATATACCCTTTCATCTTTGTTGATTGATTGATTGATTTTTATGCAGCTTTTGGCTACTCTAATAGTCCCCCCTCTGAAGAGGTAACCCTAAAACCTTTTAAGGATTAGATACAAGCTCCTAAATACTTTTGACATTTTTGGCTTTTGGAATAGAACATATTGCTAAGAGACCCAAGGACATTGTGACATTTAGCCAAGAAACTGGCTACGTTTTGCAGGGTCTTTTTACCCTAACTGCTTAGTCAATTCCTACCTCCTATTCTTATCACACCATCCTCTGAAGAGGTTACCCAAATTGCCAATAGGGAATTTGGACGCACACCACACTGGCTTTTTTCATGCTGAACAAGGACACAGGGTGAGGCACTTGGAGTACCCTTCGGTGGGTCTATCTAAAAGACTCCCAAGTTGCATAACTCTTATCTCAAAGGGGAAAAAAGTCCTTGAATCATGGATAGAAGCTGTGAAGGAGAAGTAAAGGCAAGAGGAATTAGCATGACAAGTTCTAGACAGGAAACTAGAAAAGTCAGAACAGGGCAATTTTCAAATGTCTATTGGAATTTCTTGACAAGGGCTTCCAAAAGCATCCTTCTTTTGGGTTCCTCATTTTTCTTTTGTCTTCCCAGGCTAGACTCCAGGTTGATGGATTCAGGATTTGCTTTCAGGTATTTTGACAGAAG